GAATTCCGTATTGATTAGAAGTTTTCTCAAACACTGATTGACTATGTATACGAGGAAGCATACAGGAAAAATGTTAGCTTTGGTCCATCATTTAGCCACTTGAGTGGTTTCAGTTTGAGAATTTATGGAAACTTTCAGTGCTTTCTTATGGAGAAGAATATCAGGACATAGGCTGAGCCTACACATTTTTCTAACTACTAACTCTACTAGAAACTGTTTTTGTAGATGTGTTGAAGAATACTTCGGTGAAAAGAAGTATTCGGTCGCTAAATACACCCTGTGGCTTCGCGAATGGAATATCTGTTATATCTGACAGTGATGTTGATATTGTAAGACACTAACAGATTTTCGCAATGCCCGAAAAACAGTTAGTTTCATGTTCAAGCATCTATGTTGTGTCAACTTTTCCTTCTTGAAAACCAGAGAGTAAAACGAAGTAGTTAACAGATACAGCCACTAGAAACTCATATGAAATTTGTTTCTGAAAACTCCTCCCTAAGATGGACCCAAAGAAACGCTTTCCCGAGTGGTACATCTAACTTAATCACATCAAATATAGAACTACTCATCTCAGCGAACCGATGTTTGTATATAATCTCAACTGTTGTTGAAGAGTGGGTTACCTCAAACATTCAGTCGGAGCTTTCCGTAGACTTACTACAGCACATTGTTAGGAAAATGAGGACAAGCACATACATTCACACCTTCGTGAGATGATTCTCAATACTGAAAACTAATACAGGAACTACAGTTATCTACCATGGTCAATATAGTCTCATGATATCGTCTTTGTCTTCAGGAGAAAAAAGGAGTCACAGCCAAATTGAGTGTGTCTTAGCTATGTCTGAAACAAGCTACTTTATCATCCTAGTACACAATATCGTCCACAGAACGTAATTTAAACTTACCGTTGCAATTATTACTAACTCTTCCGTTATCATCTCATTGAAAATTATGATATTCTTTTCAACCCAATTACCTTTCCCACCTGTTCTAAACTCATTTCATTCTTTCCATATTGTTTGATAAATGCTTCAGATGCATGATTATCTCCCTACTCAAATATTGTCTAACGTTCTTATTTACACTGAATATTTCTTACTACTTTCTCACTCAGTCATTGAAAGTTAACGTATCGTGGAATGGAGTCATCTACTCGTAATAGATCTTCAAAAATATTTTGCCAAATTGTGTGCTACTCATGAGTAGTTAAACGCGTACAGATAAATTTATCATGGTCTCACACTAGAGTTAAATCTCACATCATTTCACTGCTAATCAACGTATTGCGATTTGATACGTTACAGTGATCCACCTAACTAACAAAACGATCCTTCACAGAATCACTATTAGCTGTGGACTGTCCACTCATTTTCACACTGACCGTTTGATAGTAGTGTCCGATTTTTGGTTGATGTGGTGCTAATAACTTCTGATACCCATATATATCATTTCAGAGTTGATTAAACGTTATTCATACCTCTAGTTAACATTTTCCACTTTACTACTCGAGGACTCTCTTTATCATATGAAAAACACCTAATTAAGGTGCAATTAATTGTAGACGCAACTGAGATAGAGAAAGAGAGATTTCAGAAAACTGTGATAATTTGGTTGGTTGTGGCTAGCAGAAAAATCCAGGACGCGCGCTTCGTTTCGTTCGAACAATTCGATCTGACAAAACGACGGAGAACAGCAAGTATTTCAATAAATAGTAATTTCAGAAAACTATTTAAACTACGTTATATACAATTATTTTTAAAACAGCTGGCTAAAATGAACACTCCTTGTGAATTACTCACCGTGCACCCATCTGTTCTCTGTTGATAAAACAAATGTCTGCAGTCCAACCGTCTCACAAAAGATTCAAAACTAAGTTACGAAAGGTGTAGTAAACAAACATTAAACAATAACCATACATGTCATTTAGTCCCTTAAGCTATATCACAGTGTACTAGTTGTGAATCTGCTCGTGTACGCTGGAGGTAAGTGTTTCTATAACTGCTGTACCATCAGAAAATTAACGCATGCCACTTGAACCAGCTGTATGCATCTACGACTACACAATGATTGTTTCAGTAGATGTTAACTGTAATATTGATTAGCACTTAATAAAAAAGTTTCCAAATCAATTTTCAACATACACTCAATTAATATATGGAAAGAAATTTGGAAATAATTCTTCGGAACCGTCACATGTATATGTAACTAGCAGTGCAATGGGTGATAACATTGATGAGTTTCAAAACAGTGAATGTGATCCTAAAGTAGTCTTGTTTTTCCCTGCAGAAGTATCTTCTTGAACAAGCAGAGATGTATATAAGTATTGTTCGGAATTCACTGGGAAATGCAAACGCTACAATAATGAATAGCCAGCATGCTGTCTTTTGTAACCATCAGGTCTCAACTTCGTTTGCATATCTATAAATGTCTGCAAGTACTTTGTGCTATTGTCAAGAGAGGTTTCATTCACACAAGATATGATAAATAGCCTGGAATGGTTAGCTGAAGTTTACTACCATCAGATTCGCAGAATCACTTATAATGCATTGCTGTAAAATACTAAGCATAGTCCAAGAGTGAGTATTTACCTTTATTAAAATCCTGCGGTAAATAGCCTTCATCCTGAATATTTCAGATAAAAACGGCACATTCGTTATCAACATATCTAAGTAAACAAGAGTTTTACAATTCCGATCTTAAACTGGTATATATACTTTATTTAGATGTAATGTGCGTAAACGCAATTAACAACATTAAACGCAGCCACACTAGATATTAACAACAGCCTTATATTGTCCAGTTCAGCGTCCATAAGCCACCTATTCACGAGCTATTGCCATATAGCAGAGAGTCACGGGGATGGTTGTTACTGTTCTGAAACCGCCTGCAAACTTTACGAACACAAACCCCAGGCAAAACTTTTCAGAGTTTGTTTATAAAATATGTACTGGAAACAAACTAACCTGACCTTGTTGGTCACTATATTATCTATTGGTTGACGTCCCACTAGCCTTCCAAAGCACAAAATTTACCCAAGGTTTTTGGTTAACCTACAATTTGAATCTTGTAGTAGAAAACAGAGGGTGGGAAGTGTCACACAGAACATTTTTCCGACACATTAATTTCGGCTTTCATGGACCAAATGCAAATACAAGATAGTACTGATGTGAAAGGGATGATAAAAAAGAATAAAAAGAGAATAACAGCATCTTAAAAGTTTATAGGTAAAGTCACTCATTAAGCCTTCCCTGGCAACGGTAGGGGTAAAGGCTGCACATATTTCTTTTGAACGCTGAGTTTTTATATTGTCAATTCAAATTCCTAAGCTTCAGCTATTTGTGAAAGATAAGTTTGAACTCCGTCGGGAAGGCTCAGTGGGATGCGGTAAATCACTTCAAACGCTGTCGTTTTATCCACTCAGGAATCACTATTAACTAGGTGCGAAAAAAGTAGAGCTTCTTGTGGATTTCCCTTTCCAGCCACGAAGGTTGGGTTAAGTTGTTTAGTCGTACGGCCGATATAACTGTCTTCAAAGGAGAAATTAAACTGGTAAATGCCCATATAATTGGTCAAACTCAATAACTCATCCCTCGTTTGACATGGGATTATTTGTCCACTGGAAAACGGCAAACAGAGATTAGCTGCAAAAAAGTGGTCCACGATAATCTATGGGATAAGATCTCAATAGACACTTCCCCCATTAAATTGCAGCATTATGAATAATAGTTCCTTTCGTAATGTTCCTGCCTCAAGTCTTCTACCCATACTACTCATTTGCTTTTTCACAAAATTAAAAGGATAACCTGTTTTTATTGATGAATTTGGAAAGAACTCTAACTCACGGCATCTTAGGACATTTTCCTTGCTTTGGCTGTCAATTGTTTCACGGGATTTCTTTTGTACGGTATAGGTATAGAATGAAGTTGTTTATTGACATGCAAATCTCTTTTGGTAAACACTTCTAGAAAGTAAGCCATTTCTTCGTCTACTTATTAGTAAATCAAGTAATTTTAGCTTCTTGTCACATCCTTCTATTCAAGTGAAGGCACTGAAATCAGGTAGTCCAATTAACAAAAAGCAATCTTTTCACTAACTTCTCCCTCGGGTTCTACAGTTATCCATCCATATATTTGATCAAAGAATAAATGTGTGTTGACAGTTAGATTTTCTAAAACAGTCAACTGTTAGTATTAAACAGTCCAGGAGTTCTCTTTAGAAAAAGGCCTATGTGAAAGAAAAATCATAATCAAATTCAGGGTGGAATAAACAAGGTTAGTCGAATGAGAACAGTAAATCAAGTTGTATAAGTATATGGGGGTAAAAATAAAAGATTCTGATCAACTGTAAGACTACATGGAAAGGGTTTATAAGTGGTTTGAAAGTTTACAGCAAAGACAGATGATACGACAAAATGCTCAATAGTTTGTAGATTCCAGTCTAAGGTAATTGTTACACCTGTTCCATTCATATATATAGTTCTGGTCTTAATGCAAATGACTATAGCTTCTGTCATTTGGAGTAATCTGTGACCGATAGCTTTTCTTATGTTAATGGCGATGGGGTTAAATACAAGAAGATTATCGATCAGTAAAAGGTTCATAGCCTGTTTGAAACAAGTGGAATATCACCAGATTACTCACTTTTTTCAATGCACCTTTAACCTTTAACCATACTGAGAAATATTTCTGAGCACGAAAAATTACATTCTTTGAGCATCGATCAACATAACTGAATCCACAACAACTTGTATTTAACCTAGGGACTCCATCTTTCAGTCTCGTTAACACAACTAAGCATGCTAAGAACATCAGCTTCAAGTTTCCCGCATTGGGTGATCAACTCACTTTGCTCCTCCGGTCCAAATTGTGTTTTTTTCTGAAGCAGTTCATAGCTGAAGTACGTTTTTTCTACTTTTGTAGCTATAAGCTATTTAGCTGACTTGTCTAAATAGTCATTTTAAGTTGGTTTTGTGTGTGATGTTCACCTTTTCTTTAGTCATGTCCTCCCAAAACACAGCTGTTACTGTGAGACTACTAGATTTTGTTTGTATTGAAGTGAAAGGAACCTAAGGAAGCATTTATGTCGTCCCAAACCTACTTTTCATATATAGGTTTTCTTTAATCCGTGCATCCCTTCTTCTTAAAAGCAGAACATCTAGAAAGGCTATTTTGATTTTGCGATTCCTCTTTGTATATAAATTTTATGTTTGAGCGCACTTCATAGAATCTGGTGAGCATTTCAGACCTCCATCTACGCTGAAATGTGAAATTCCCAAAAGTTTTCTCCAGCGCACTGTTTTCTAGTTTAGCTAGGAAACGTTTTACCTATTATTTAACTCACTAGACAGGCCATAGCAACCACTGGAACTAGTTTAAAAATTGTACGTTGAAATTCAAATCTGTGTTCTTTTCAGGCAGTAATTCTCTAAAGTTATTCAATATTTAGCAATGCATCATTCACCTGTTCACATATTTATTTTTAAAATATGACTCGTTGGACACGTACATAACTGTGTTGCGTTAATAATATTATATTATATTATATTAATATTTTATCTTAGGATTTTAGTTTTTTCTGCTAATTCAAAACGTCCTATCATACTACTCCAATCTGCCCATGTGAAAACCAAAAAATGCTTTACATCTTGTGAAAACATCAACATTGTGACCAAAAGCCTACAAAGGTTGGATAGCCTGATTTATTTACACCTTCAGTCTACAAATAAATGGCTGGCGAATACATCCCTTTAAGCATTCAAAAAAGTTACCTCAAGACATATATACATATAATTATTACATCATATTAATTGTCCATTCGGTTCCTAGTGAAACATAGGGCTGCAGTAGCACATGGCCATTTCACTCTGTTCTCTGCAGTCTTATTTTCTAACCTGGCGCCACGACTCCCCACAAGCTTTCATTTCTTC